AAAGTGCTTTGAAATCATTTTTTTACCAATGCTCATTTAAGTTGCTTGCATATGTAAATAGGTGTGTTAGAAATTCATCATTTTTTTAAAAATTTCTTTAAAAATTTGACTTTGTAGCAGTTATTAAGGTAAAACGAAAATTATAAATTCCAAATTTTGAAATTAATTCCATTAATATTTTTCTACTCGCTAATTAAAATTCCACACTTATTCTTTCATGATAAACCTTTTTACATTTTATTTCTCTTTATTGTAGATCATTCAAATGAAAAAAATCTTGACACTATACTAGTATTCCATCGAAACATATTAAACGTGGCTGGTTAATTTTCAGACTCCATATAGACATCCTAGTGATGTGATCTAGAATTACGTTCAGGCCTAGATTATTACCATTATTCGAAGATAAATTATAAGAAATGTTGATGATTAATACTTACACCTTATATGTATTCTAAACGAATTCTCCTGTTTCCCTTCCTTCCTTACGAGGAATCGTTAATTGAGCCGATATTTTGTGTACAGATAGAATTTGAGGCTCGAGAAATGATGTAGGAATATTCTTATGTTTATATCGAACTAGTTACAAAGTTTTAAGATGATTGAAACGGTAAATTCCGTCATAAATATGAAGTCAATTTTTAATGTCGGCATATGAAAAGTAGTGTTTTCTGAAAAAAGATTGATTTAAGTATATTTTTCATTCACATCATATCACTAAACAATGGTCAAGTACCTAGCCAAGTATTTTTTCATTTATGTAGCGATATAAATAAGCGTTTACAAATTTATTTACACAGCTTGCAAACTATATTTATAAAAAACTTGTCAGGAAAATCGTCTGAATTTTGGATTTTATGCCATTTATATTTATTATTCATATTTTATATTCCATTTCTTAATTTTAGTCATATTTTATTTCATTTTTATATTTTATTCTTATTTTATTCTATTTTATTCATATTTTCTTCTATTTCTATATTTTATTCCATTTCTATATTTTATTCCATTTTTATATTTTATTTATATTTACTCCATTTTTAATTTTGCTCATATTTTATTCCATTTTTATATTATATTCATATTTTATACCATTTTTATATTTTATTTCTATTTTATTCCTTTTTTATTTTTTATTCATGCTTTATTCCATTTTTATATTTTATTCATATTTATTATATTTTTATATTTCATTCATATTTATTATACTTTTATATTTTACTCAAACTTTATTCAATTTTTATATTCTTTTCATATTTTATGTAATTTTTATAGTTTATTCATATTTTATTCCCTTTTTATAGTTTATTCACATTTTAATTCCATTTCTTTTTATTCATACTTTATTCCATTTTTATAGTTTATTCAAATTTTAATCAATTTCTATAGTTTATCCATATTTTAATTCGGTTATTTTCTTTTATTCATACATTCCATTATATTATGTTTAATTGTAATACAGAAACGTGGAGTCGTTAGGTTCAAAAGTTCGACTCCTTTTCCTGACTTTCCTGAGAGCTCGACTTCGATAAAAGTTTCTCCGTTTTCCTGGAAAAATATGAATACCGTGCGGCAAAAACACTCGGACCAAGTTTATTCATATTTTATCATATCATCATAGAATCAATTTCAGTCAACTTTTGATCAGCTGGGTTTAATGCGTGTAAGAATTGTTTGAGCTCCCTTTTTCAATTCAAGATTGGTCAAAAATATTTCAGTCTAAATTGGATCTTTGATCTTAACCTAAGATGATTTGTTTTTAATTTTAAGAGAGTAGGTTTTGGAAGGACAGTGAAAAAAAAGAAGAAAAAAAAGAAGGAATTATGAGAGTGTAAAAGAGATTTGATTGAAGATGGATAGAGTGAAATTGGAAAAATAAGGGAGGGGTAAATAAAATAGAATGGGTATTGAAGTAGTGAAGTTTGATGAGCTTGCAGCTGGAATAAAATGGAAATAGTAAAGTGATAAGGAGGCAATCGGTATACTAGAAAATAAGGAAAGAAAATAAATAAAAAGAATTTGAAATGATGTGCTTCAAAGGTGTGGTAATTAAACATTTTGTTATTTAATTTCTGTGCATGTTTTTTCTTTAATAATTATAATTCAATTCGTATTAAAACAGTATGATCTTAAAAGTCAGAGTTCTTCAAAATTCAAATAAAATGTATGATATTTTCTTTTGTGAATTTTAATCTTGTTCGTAGTTTTCTTTTTTATCCTAACTATTATTCACGACAGTAAGCATTGTTCTGAGTTTGGTAAAATAGTAAAAGAAAACGACTACTGCATTTTTTATTACTATTATTATTCAACAGTAGCACTTGAATTTACAATTCATTCTCCAAGAACAATAGTTCCACTGAAATAAATATTTCGATTGCTTTGATCACACGTTTTTTGAATTATTTAAAAATAGTTCTAAAAGAATTTAAAATGAACTTTTAACATTCGTTTATCGATTTTTTTTCCCAATTTTTTTCGTCAAAACTATCCATTTAAAAATTCATAGTTCCAAAACCGGAGACAGAAATTAACAAAATATTTGCCACCTTCCAAATTTTAACTACAATGCCTCTTCGTATTAAAAAAATTATCTCGATTTCAGAGAGTACCACCTTATTTGTTGGAATTTAAATTGAAATTGTTTGTAAGTAAAACAAATTTGAATAATATATTTTTTGAGTTGTTATTTTGCTTTTTAAAGGGATTGTTAAAGCACTTTCGTTTTTTAGTGTATCGTTGCTTCGACAATTTTCTACATCCCGTAAATAACGATATCATTTAATAAAGGAAATAAAAAATAATAATTAATAATACAATAATAATAATAATTTTGTAGTTATGATCTTCTTTATCTTTAAATTACGCAGATTAGTATGCGTCACGTATAAAGTTGAAACTAACAAAACAGAAGTGTCCAATAATGTCAAAAATAGATGATGTGTCATTTAGCTCATTATCAGTTAATTGTACCTATAAAATATATTTTCCTTAAATCTGGGCAATTTAGCGAGATTTTTTAAGAATGATATAACAATTTCCTGATTTAAAAAAATAAATGTAATAATTTTATTGTTTTTCAGCATTAAACAGCCGATTCATAGAATTATGGCTATAAACTAGTCATTCCATCTTCTTACAATTGTGAACGTACTTAGAAGTTAAGAGGACTCCCGGTTTCAAGTAGTATTTGGGAGGTTTATTTGAGAAAGACTAACCCTCAGGTTGCGTAACTAGGAAAGAAAAAAAAAGGATAAAAAAATCTCGCACAGTTAGCTTGACGGTATGATTTGTTTATCACTTGGAATATTTTTCTTGGATATTGTGGCCAGTTATAACCGAAAGTCATATACGAATCAATCGGCTATCTCCGGCTATTTCCAGTCTGAGTTCTCTCATTATGAAGCAAACACAAAAGAATTATCTCCTCAATTAGGAATTATTCTCTTTTTTGCATTTTGTTCAGGATCTTGTCAGGGTACTAAAACTTTCAGGGAGAGAAGGGGAGGGTGGGAGAGAGAGAGAGAGAGAGAAAGAGGGAGAGAGATTTTTCCAATCAGGAGACCCAGGTTCGAATCCAGGTGACAGCTGATTGATTCGTCTACCTCCCTGCTTTCATCCCCAGTGGTAGACATATCATGGCTTAAAATCATCTTGTCATCAGGCTAACCGAGAAAGTGTTTTGCGGTTCTCGTTGTGACGACAACGCGGATTAATCCCATCTGAAAGTCCTCTACGAAAACACGTTTATTTCAAAGCATGATCAAGGATTAATTTTGTCTTCTGAATTGGGTTCGAAATTACAAGACTAACGAGCTTAACTTTGAATGCCGCAAACCCAAAATAGATCGGATATTAGATGATATCAAGTAATATTATTAAAAGTTACCAAAGTAGCAAAGTAGCAAAGTTACTGGGTAGCAAAGTTGCCCCGATTTACACTAGCCTTCTAGGACTTCGCTTCAGAAACAAATATTGTAAACATTACATATTGTAACAATAGCAGATATCGTTGTGTTGGAGTATTTTAAAAACAATAAAACAAATAAACGAAAACTTGCTGTGCGAGTAAACTTTAATGATGGTTATACTCTTTGTGAATAGAATATGTGTGTTAAGGTTACGCGATTTTCACATTCTTTGCATTACCTTGGTTTCGGCAAATCTTACTATACGTTTCAATATCTGTGCTATATGTTCCATCCCCTTACAGAAAGGTGCTCGCCTGGAGAAAAATCTAAATTTCCCGAAACCATGGATTTACCTGTCGAAACGATGGTTTTACTAGACAAAACCATAATTTTACTTGTTCACTAGATTTGCTGAAACCATTACCATGGTTTCGGCCATCGTTTCAATATCTTTACTACATGTTCTATCTTATTTCTGAAAAGAAATGCGGGAAGAAAAATCTAGATATCCCCGAAGCCATAGTAAAGAAGATAGGAAGGGCGATGAGTGTGGGAACTGCGTAACCTTCAGAAAGCCTATTCCATTTACCAAGAGTATAACTTGCTTTGTTAGTTAACCCATTTATTTTACTTTATTTTATAACTGTCGTTGAACAGCCGACCCAATTTTTTTTAGAGTGGGGTTTACGACTACTAACGTTCAACTCCTTAGCCTTGTAATTTTGAAACAAATCCACAAGATAAGGGAACTCCTGGATTAAGTATTGGGAGAAATTTACCTTCGTGGAGGACTTATCGATGGAACTAACCAGCGTTTGCGTCACATGGAGAGGAAAGCCACAAATACCTCCCACTGTTAGCTTGGCGGCTAAGGGATTCTAACCCATGATCCGTCTACCACTGAGAATATTTCACGTCAGCACTGTGGTGGGTGAGATCCGGGTGCGGGATTCGTATCGACCAGCCATCGCTGGGATTCAAACCCGGTATACCTAATTGGGAGGCGAACGTTCTATCCCCTGAGCCACCGTGGCTCTTTATTGTACTTAGTATATTGTTGTCTAATAAAGAACTCTTGTCATATTTTAGGAGAAGAAGGTTCTTCAGTGCATGGAGTCCTCTATGATAATGGCCTTCTGGATGGTACAATAAGATTAGGTGAGGAGGAATATTTCATAGAACCAGCAGCAAATTACTTTTCGCCGTTAGAGAATTTCCATTCCGTTGTTTACAAACTTTCGGACATCAAATTTCCAGAATTAAATAGGACATGTATGCCGTCTTTAGCCAAAAATCAAAGTTGTCAGCATTCCAAAAGTTCGGAAAATTCCATGGATCAAAGTTATTCTCTAATAAAAGATTCGTTAATTTCAACTTCTAAAAACTCTGTAAATATATTAAAACAAAATAAACTTCATAAAAATAGAAAACTCCACAAAAGCTACCGACATCGTGGGTACTACAGTGCCAAATACTCTAAAGTGTACAGTAGTCAAAAGAAATTGAAGAAATTACATCGAATAATTAAGGATGCCGGGAGCACAGACCATTTTAAAGACTCGTACAGTGATAGGCCTTCTTCAAAGCACCACATGAAATACATGAGATTTAAGCAATGGGTATCTCTAAAAGACCACATTAGCCATGAATTTGAATCAAGTGCCAACATTATAAATTCATCTAAATTAGATATCAAGAAAACACCATTTATATCTGAACAAAACGGTCCCCCAGATACAGCAACACATGAAACTTTGCAAGTAGATTTCAATTCACCTGACAATGTCACAGACGTTCATTCAAACAGTGTCAAGCCAACGATGCCAAACGCGCCAGAGGATTCTTTAGAAGATAAAAGTGATGTTCCTTATTGGCGTGAGTTGGATGCTTTGCACTACACAGAAGACGGGCGCACTGGCAGTTCTGAACCGTATGGTGTGCGTTCGATTCAAAGAACTCAGTGGAACGATGATCGTGGTCAGAGACACGTAGCGGTGGATAGAAGAAAAAGTACGTGTCTCTTGTATCTTCAAGCTGACCATCTTTTTTACCAAAGGTTGGGCAGTGAGGAAGCTTGTATTGATGCCATGACAAGACACGTTCAACGAGTAAACAGCATTTACAGAATGACAGGTAAGTCTTTAACTGCTTTTCATTTCTTTGTTAGATATGTATTAAATGTAAATTAACAATTCATGAAGAGAATCTGAATGCATAGACTATATGGTGGAATTGTATCAAAAAGGAAACAGACTGATTTTAAAAAAAATGCGTTTGAAATGCACATGCGCAGCTTAGGATTACGTATTTCAAAACCGGCGTTGAATAGTTGATCCATATCGGATTTGTGACTACATGGATTTTTAGTAATGTAACTTTCTAATTTTAAACATGACTCAGAAGACAAGACAACTTCTTGTTTAGGCATCGGAGTGAGCTCGCTTCCGAGATGGATTTTTGTAGTAAACTAAATATGGAATGCACGAAGAAAAAACAGCAAAGCCTCCCACGCGGTCATATCAATTTAAGTATGATTTCATTCAAATTTTGCTTTGTAATGACCACCTCGGCTAAATCCCAATGTAAAACGTGGGCTTTATGTATTTTATAAGTCATATATTAATAGTTAAATGCCGAAAAATAAAACAATTTCAAGAATTGACCAATCACTGTTAATGAAAGCAAGAGCAAAGTAGGGATTAAAATCATCGAAAAGCAGTTTATTTAAGGATAAAGCTTATAGAAGGTTCCTATAGAAAGACGAATGTATTCCAATTCTACTAAATAATACTTTGATTTCTGGGGATTTCAACCCCACCTTTGCTTTTTTAAATTCCAATAGTGATTGTGAGAGTTTTGAAACATTATTTGTTTTTCTCATCTAAATATTAATCTGTAATCTCTTATAGGCATAGTTTTTTTAATTAAGTTTTTGCACTTTTATTTAGAGTGTTCCGTAACAAATCTCCTAAATCTGTCTCTTTATAATTTTTGACCAAACCGAAGTTAAAAAAGTTATTTATATTTATGATTACAAATTAATCGTTAAACAAGAAAATCTGACTAATCACTAATGAGAAAGATGAAACTGAAGACATCCAAACCTGGTTGTTTGCCGAAGAAAGGCGATTATTCGAAACATTTCCAAGTTTCACTAAGCAATCAAACTGGTTTTGGTATTTCACATCTCACCTTCTTCACAGTTGATTATACAGATTTTTATGGCGCTTTCGTTTATCGTTTGGTTCGTTTAATCTTGGGATTGACTATTTATCTTTAAACGAAAAAAATAAAACGCACTCGAAATCTGCAAACACTAATGAGGAAAATGATACTGTAAACGTCTAAAACTGTTTTGTTGCCGAAAGAAAAAGAGGTGAGTTGGAAGCTAATTATTAGAGACACCTCCAAGTTTAATCAGACAATTTATATGGTTTGGTGTTTTTCCTCTCACCTTCCACATAGTTGATTCTGATGGTTTCCATAGAGTTTTTGTTTTCCCCCTTATTAAAACATAAATAAGCGATATGAAATAAACTCAATTTTTTGACAAGAATTTATAAAAATACATAGTAGAGGAACATTATCATCACCTAATATAATTTGAAGTTTCTTTACTGAATAAATAACCTTTTGGATAATTGCTTATTGAATTTTTTAAAAATAATATTCAAATACAGTTAAAAGTAAATAACAATAAAATGATGTCAACAAAACGTAAAGCCATCTTTTAATCCATATTTCTGGAAAAGTAAATTTTGAATGTGATGTAATAATTGATTTTATGTTTGATAGGGAAATATTCGAAAAGAATCTAAGAATTTCGAAGCTCATTAGAAATCACGAGCTTCCTCTAAATGAAAAATGAATTTTCTATTTGCTCAGAAATAAATATTTTGATTGCAGAAGAATGTTGACGAGTTATTCTCGAGGACTGCAGAGCGGCCCGTGTGATATTTTTTCGTCAAGTTTAATAGTTAATAATTCTCGAATGAACAAATTTTTGAATATAATTTTTTTAATCCATCATGCTCCCTGTACATTTTTCTATAATCCTTCATAATTTCAAGTTTCTATGTTTCATTTATTTATTGCTTGATCTATATTATTTGCTCATCGAAACGAAATGTAACCTTAAGACCACTCAAAAACAAAGTCGGCCCTTTCGTTTTTTCTTTCTTTCTCTTTCCTTTTCTTTTTTCTTTTTTTTTTTCGGTTGAGAAATTTTGAATTTTTTTGTGGATGTAATAAATTTTTTCAAGAACGTTATTATATAAGGGTCGGGATAGCCTGCCTGGTAGGGCACTGGGCCCATGTCCAAGTGGTCGTAGGTTCGATCCCCGCCCTCCGAAATAAGTATAGTATAGTAAATGGTGACTGATGCTCTTTAAATCTGTCGAGTTAAAAAGTTCTCCATGTTCCCATAACAAATCATACGTCTGGGGGTACTGATCCTGGAGTTTCCTTGTCTTCAGGATTGGTTCAAAATAACAGGACTACGGAGTTAAACATTGGTTTTCGTAAACTCACAAAATTGGGATGACGGTTATAAGGAAAAAAGAAAGTTATTATTATTTAAAAACAGTTGAATACAAATTAAAATAAAAAATATCAAACCCATCTCTTTTAAATCTTATTTTTAGGAAAATAAATTTAGAGTATGATGTAATAATTCCTTTTATGTTTGATGGAGAAACATTCGAATGGAATCTTCGAAATACCTGCTTTCGAGAAACTCATTAAAAATCATGAGCTTCTACTGAGTGAAAAATGAATTTCCTGTCTCTGCGGGAAAATAAATATGTTGATTGCAGGAGATTCTTGACGAATCATTTTTTCTCGTAAAAAAAAAAAACTGGATAAAGTTATACAGCACAGATTTATGCAATATGCAATAGAGAGTCTACTTGTTAGTGGAGTTTGGGAGAAATAAAATCCTCGAACTTCGATCGGGCTTCATTTATTTTCCCAGATAGGAAAATAAACAAAATGTCTGGAATTTCAAGAAGATAAAAATAAGGAAAACCGAAAACTTTGCGAAGTGATTGAGTTGTCTTTTTTATTCTTCCTCGTAACTTTTTCCGAATTCTAATAAATTTTAAAACATTCATCCAAACAAACCTCTCTTCTCCGGGTTTTTTTCCCGGTGTGCAATGACGCCGCATCTGCGCCAATCAATGGAGCTATGATATATTAATGTTAAAGTAAAAAAAAGAAGGAAAAAAAAGAAGAAAAGAAGAAAAATCTTAGGTGCCTTTTATTTAGATTGGAGAAAAAAGTCGTGAAGTTTGCCCGCTTTGAAGGTAAATGGGAAATATTTTCTTGTTTGCTTTTTCTGCGTTCTGATGCCCGTTTTATGCGTTATCATTACCTATTCGTCATTTGCGTTTTCGGCTCTTTGAAGCGAGTTAAAAATGTCGCTACAAAATGTTTATTTCTCCGGATACAAAATAGGAAGATGCAGAGAACGATATAAAAATAAAAACGCGGCAAAAAATATCTCTTTATATTTTTGCTCCTCGGTATCGGTTTTATGCTTGCAAATGCTTCATTTTTTTTTGCTAGCGGCCATTACTGACATTTTTCGAAAGAGCAAAGTATCAATAAATGTTTCATTGTTCATTTCCTGTCGGTTGATGTATATATTTAAATTGCAGTTTTAAAAATTATGATTGATTTTATAACTTGGCAGAAAATTTCCGTTGATTTCCGCATATTAAAAAAAGAGCGTATAAAAATTCGAACTATATGTTTTGTTTTCCACTTCGGATTTGTATCTTAATCAGGAATGATTAGCACGTTAATCACGAATAATTATCAAAATATTCGTTGAAGCAAACAAAGAACATATAAGAAAAAGGAAGAAAGAAAAAAAAAAAAACAATCGGTAAAACAAATTTTTCAGCTTCAGTTTTATATCATAATCAGGAAGGAATACCGCGTTAACTATTAATGATTTTAAAAATATTAATTGAAGCAGAGAACATATTAATAAAAGAAAGGAAGAAAAAAAAACGAGCAGTAAATTTCCTTTTACACTTCTGATTTTTATCGTAATACGGAATGGTTATCGCGTTAATTCGGAGTGATTATTAACGTTAATCAGGAGTGATTATAAAAATATTTCTTGAAGCAAAGAATTTATTAAAACGAAAGGGAAAAACGAACAGCAAACATTTTTTCAACTTTTAATTTATTTCATAATAAGGAATGGTTATCGTGTTAACTAGGAATGATTGTCGCGTTTGGGGTTACGACTTGTAATTTTGAACCCAATACAGAACACAAGGGAATTCCTGGATCAAGTATTGGGAGAAATTTGCCTTCGTGGAGGATTTTTTTATGGAACTAACCCGCATTTACGCTATATGGTGAGGAAAACCACGAAAACCTCCCACGGATAACCTGACGGCAAGGGGACTCAAACCCATGATCCGTCTACCAATGAGGATATTTTACGTCAGCATTGTCGTTGATGCAGAATTCGTATCGATTAGCTATAGCTGGGATTAGATTCCTGTTCACATCATTAAATGGACACTCAATTTACGATTTTTTATCAGGAATGGCTGCTATGTTTATCTCTAGCTGGCGAACAGTATATTCCTTTCATTTAATATTCATATTTATTATTTTAATCAGGAATGGCTGCTACATTTATTGGGCAGGTAACTGACGAGGAAGTAATTTTTTATTTAATCTAGTAATTTTGAACGTAACTCTGAAGATGAGATACCTGATTTCAAACTAATATTTGATTTTAAATGTTATGCAAATTAGAGGGTACGCTTAAAGGCATCCATATTGGACTTAAGTATTTAAAGCAATTTCCAATCTTTCACAAATTATTTTCTTATTGGGAACTTTTATTTGACGCTGAAATCGTCAAACTTAACGTTTCTTAACTTTTTTTCTTTGGAAATGTCTTCAAGGACGAAAAAATGTCGCCTTGTGTTGCTCACAAACAATGGGATACCTGCAAATGACGTAGTGAAGGTATCTCGATCATGATTGGTTGTTGAAACCTGGCATTTGTTTACGTTAGCAGCTGTTCTTCCCATTCTATTTCGAGTAAGCCAAGTCCTTCAAGTATCAATTCTCTTAAGTGACACATTCTTAATTCTTTCCCAAAG